GGCTTGTGCCCAGAGTCACCAGTGTCCGCGGTCAGTAATAACAGAACTATGACGGCCAGGAATGGGAAGCCATGCCCTCCCCTCCCCTCCTCCCTCCCCACCATCTCCTCTGCTCCTGCTCTGCACTGGGCTCCTGCTGCCCCTGGGCCTTTGCACGGCCCTACCCCTACCCCTACCCCACCCAGAGCGCTGCTCCCCACATATTGAGTGTTCAGTCCTTCAATCTCCCCGCTTTCTCTGGCCAACTCTGCCACAGATCCTCCACTCACCATTACTTCTAGTCTCCCTTTCCCTCTGTAACATTTTCAGCCCCTGTGAATTCTGTTTCAGTATGGTGTATGTCTGCTCAACGTCGGCGGCCCACCTAGCGCTTTCTGGGTGCCAGGCTTGGGGCCAGTTGTGCTAGGTCCATCAGTCCTCACAACCAAGATGACTATATAATACACAAGCAAGACGTGTAGACTGTGCTATATGATGAAAGAAATGGAGCTAGGTAAGAGAAAAGGATTTAGGAAGAGAGGAGCTCAGGGCTGGCATGTAAGGCAGCAGGTGCAAAGGTCCTGGGGCAAGAAACACCAATGGAGTCAGAGGAACAATGAGGTCAGGAACCTTGGGGACCCCAGCAGGATGCCATGGGGACAGAAATCCAGTATGGGCTCACAAGGCTGGCCACAGGTTCCATACCACCCGAGGAAGGAAAGTGAAATATTAATGTCATCCTCTGGGCCAGGCCTATACAGAGGAAAGGCCAGCACTCACCCTGACTGTGGAAATTAGGGAAGTGGAGACCCACAACCTTGGTCATCAGTGATCAATGATACTGCACGGAGTGGGTGGGCTACATCAGGCCTGGGGTTCACCCCCACACCAGCACACAAAGCCAGGAAAAGGAGTGCAGTCCACACGGTGCCCGTGTGGGTGGACCTGGAGGCAATGTGCTTGGTGAGGGGCGGCCTCCACCCCCCAGGCCTCCCACCACTTTCACGTTTTGGGTTCCAATTGGTGGGATCTGGGGCCTAAGAAAGAACTGTCTGCATGTACTAAGGAAGCCAGGTCTTTCTCTTAAGCAGAAGGAGCTTTACCCCAAGGCCCAGCCCTAGCACTGCCCACCTGGACCGGTCAGTTTTATCCACCTGTCCCTGCCTCCCACCCTCATCCCCTACCATGTCCTCCCTGCAACAGCCACCAGAGTAGAGTCAGGTCCTCCCTCTTCTGCCTTCCATGGCTCCCACCTCCCTGGGACCAAAACCCAAGCCCTCCCTGCAGCCCACAGGTCCCTGCGTGGCCGCTGTCCCCTCCCCAAGGCTGCCCCTCATTCCCTCCGCTCCAGCCATGCAGGGTCCTGTTTCCCGAAACCACCAGGTTC